TTATAAATGGACCTGTTTTAACAGCGTATATGTGAGGAATCTGTGAGTCTCAAGATATGGCCACCTCAAAGCAGCTCTAGTCAGATAACCAATTGTGAGAAATGTCAGGAAGAGCAATTCAGTAATACCTGAATTATAAATCTAAATACAGGTAATCCTCATTTTGCAACTACCTCAGACAGCCATTGCAACCATGATGAAAAGGTGACTTTACAACCGATCTCACATTTATGAATATTACAGGTCTGTAAACCTGAAGTAAGATTGGAAGCACCGTTGCGGTTTCACTTAGTGACCCCATCACTTAATGACTGAGTTGCTGGTCCTGACTGTGATTACTAAATGAGGACCACTTGTACTATGGCTGATGCAAATAGATGATTTGTATGCAGTAGTAAACAAAGCTCTTGCACCTTTATTCATGTATAGAATAAAAAAATGTCAGTAGATGTAACTTTTATTCTTGTGCAATCACACCTACAAATATTCCAAATATGACAAAACGAGTACATACAAACAGGATAAAATCTGATGGCAGAAGACCCTCTCAGAGTAACACAGCATGCTTTGCTAAAGATATATTGAAATATTGCATTTTGCCATTGAAAGAATTCCTTCAAAACAACCCATTTAAGTAATACACATTTTCATCTCTAAATTTCAATTGAGTTTAAAGTTATCTGAGAATTGGTAGAACTTAGAATTACCTAAGTCTCTGGCTAATTCACCAGTTATGTTTATTATATGGGATATTTTTAAAAAACCAGACCTATGTACAAAGAGTAAAATTGTGTATAATAATTGTTTTTGCAGACATAGCTTTCTTCATAAATTAACGTAATACATCTAAGAGACAAGCCTTTTGAAAGATACCAATTTTTGTTCTATTCACTGCCTCTGGTTAATAAAAAACATAAAGCTCAAAGACTAGAAGCGTATTTATTTCCTTGACATTTATAAAAAAAACCACTAGGAACAAATTTTAAATATATATTGAAGTTTAATAGATATTTTATGTGTATTTTTATGTCTACTGAGATAATTAAAGTTATAAAACCGATAGTGAATTTTTATTTCCAGCATTAAAAGGTTTCTAATGGATGTTGGCTACCTGAACTTTTATTTTAGACAAATTTTCTTGTTCCACTGAAGGATTCCAAATGCTACATAAAAAGTAAACATTCAATGTTTTCAATGGATCACATTTTCTTCAACAGTTTCTCAATGTTTGAGTTGGAGGTATCCAAAGCAAAAACTTTAAGTGAAGATTCTGTTTTATAAATAATTAAAATGGTTATTGTCCACAGGGATTTTACATTTTGCAACTAATGGTTTTTATGTGACAAGGGCCCCACTTATAAGATTCAGTTTTTAAATATACCAATTTAAAATAAATATTAAACTTTAAAAAATTCAAATGAATCAGATTGCAATGCTAAAATAAAAACCTCCACCAGTTTCTACTCCCTGACCCTCAGAATAAAATCAAAACAATAAGAATCTAGGAAAAAGAGATTCATTACAGATTATCACAAAGCATTAATAGTATCCTACTATTGATACTACATCTTGTGCTGACAGATAACTTTGCCCAATGGCTTCATAAAGATATGAAAAAGAAGAAGGAAGAAACTGGAGTCCTAAGGCAAAGCAAAGGTCTTCAGACCAGGTCACTCGCCCCCAACACTAACTAGAACAATGGAGAACAGTGTAAAGCTGCCAATCCTTGACAGACTAAACCAGAAGGATATTGTACTCAACAGTATTAAAGCCAAGAGTGGTCAAGAAAAGTTAGGGTGGATGTATCACCTCATCCCAACCCCACTAGAGGTCATCAGTATGTGACCAAAGCTGTATCAATACTATATTCTGGTCTGAAATCTGATTGGAAGGATTCGAATAATCTGTTTGTTTAGGACATGGAGGCCAATCACCTTCTCTATAACGTTCCAGAATAGTGTAATGACTCCCCAGGATGCTTCCCCAGTTATCTCTCCAGATGTTGGAGGAAGATGAACCAGTTCCAGGCACGTCTGGAGGAGAGTTGGTCAATGGATCCAAGGTGTATGAGAGGGATTTGGTTCAAACGCAATTGCAGCAGGACAGCCCTGAGGCTTCAGGTGAGGAAAACACACAGCTGCAGCCAGTCGGTGATGAGGAAGAGGAACTGCCTTCTGCACCTGATCCAAGAACACGTAGGGCAGAGAAAAGGCAGGAGCAGAGAAGGTCAGCCAGATTATTTGTGAGGACAAAGCCTTGCCCTTCTTGATGAGCTGCACCAGAAGCTGGCTCTTTAGCACAGCAGACAGACGGAGGCGATGCTGGGAACAACATGTTCGTTTTCTAGCTGTGTATTTTCGGGTTGTTGTAATTCTTGTCTTGCTTTGGATTGATACAATTCCTTGAATTTTGCCTGGTGGGTTTATTTTGATTGGGAAACTTTCAAGTGCTCTGTGGACTAGCATTGGTCTGCTTGTGGCTGGACTTAATTGGGACAGTTCTGGGTTTGTGGTGAAGGGAGTTGTGGGGGAATAGCAATAAATCCACTAAACCATAGGTGGGTGGGTGTGTATATGTGTGTGTGAGAGAGAGGGAGGGAGAGGGAGAGAGAGGGAGGGAGGGAGGGAGGGAGGGAGGGAGGGAGGGAGAGAGAGAGAAATAGGGGCAGGGACTGAATGAGGAAGGAGTGGAGGACTGGTTCTTTCAGAACAGTGGAACTACCCCTCTTTTAGCTATATTTGCTATAACTTGGAGAAGCATCCTTATCCAATGCAATTACAGCAGTCTTTCTGGAATGCATGTAAAACTCCCGCCATTTAATTTGCTATCTTTGCTGGGTCTTTCCAGAGAGTTCCGTGTCGCTTTCCACTTGTAACTTCTTTTCCCACTGCTTCTTTCATAGGTTTTGCTTTCAGCAGTTCTTATACAGAAGTGCAGAATAATTGAGGAATGGCCTTCTCTGAGGGCACTGAATGTGCTCTTTTTGTCATATTTATGATACCACACTACTTCTTTTCCTCGTAAACATCCCCCAAAAGATAGAGGGAGAATCAGAATGATTTCACATGTATAGCTACTTTATCCATTCATGCATATACAGTATATTCATCTGCTCATTTAACCTTCTCACTTCTCCCACTCCCTGCCCCCTGCCACCATTTCATTATCATTCTATCATTTGTTTGGCTTTCAATCACCATTTATTTTTTGTCCTATCAGAAGAGGCTTGCCACCTCTTGAATAGTAAACGCCAGTTTGACCTAATGGTTAAAGCACCAGGTAAGAAAGCAGGAGACTGTGAGTTCAAGTCCTGCCTTAGTCGTGAAAGCCAACTTTGGGCTAGTTACTCTTGTCTCCACCCAACCCATGTCACAGGGTTGTGGTTGTGGGGAAAATAGAAGAGAAAGGAGTATATTTACTGCCTTGAATTATTCATTAAAAAAATAAAATAAAGGTGGGATAAAAATAAATAAAATGTTCATGTGATATTTTTTCTAACTTAAAGACCCCTGAATTAGTTATTAGAGTAGGAATTTGTTATCTACTCTAAACTTCAAAGAAAGTTAAATTTGTGCAAAGTATTTTGCTCAGGCCAAGCTGCTCTAGAACAGGCAATGCAAGGTTTAAAAAGTAAGGGAGCAGGGCAGGCTAATCACATCTAAATCAACCCTACCCCTCCAAAAAAACCTAAAAGGCCTCCACCGAAATTATATTTTAACTTGGATAACTTGTATATTTTGGATGATGCAAATGCAGAAATGGCTGCTGTTATCTTGAACAGAAATGCCACTGTTTCTTATTTATTTATTTATTACATGTATTTATATGCCGCCATTCTCCCAAAGGACTCAGGGCGGCGAACACAAGTTAAGAAACAAGTACAATAAAATCATAATTTAATCCAAATAATCAATTAGTAATAAATAATAAAGTGAGATAGACAATGATCCATTGAATATTTTCCTTGCTCGTTTTGCATCTCCTGAGTGGTGATCAGCAACTCTTGCTGTTCTCCTTTTGTGTGGTTCTTATCAATGGATCAAACATGAGCTACCCAGAATTTGAATTACAGGACCACTTCAGGCAGAAGACTGCCCTGTGGAAGGTAGAGTACATTAAGTAGTATGTCGATCTGCTTACCCTTCTCTGCTGGGGGAAAACTTCTCATCAACATTCTTGTTTTTAACTTCCAAGAAAGCCCACCAAGAAAGAAGAAATGTATTATGCTACAAGATGAGATTTAGTATAATTCATTGACAGAATTTTATGACAAAAGTGATAAAGTGGTGGGTTCCAAAAAAATTTACTACCGGTTCTGTGGATGCGGCTTGGTGGGTGTGGCATGGCTTGGTGGGTGTGGCAGGGGAAGGATATTGTAAAATCTCCATTCCCTCCCCACTCCAGGGTAAGATTACTACAAAATCCCCATTTCCTCCCAATCAGCTGGGACTCGGGAGGCAGAGAATAGATGGGCGTCGGGCCAGTCAGAGATGGTATTTACTGGTTCTCTGAACTACTCAAAATTTCTGCTACCGGTTCTCCCGAACTGGTCAGAACCTGCTGAAACCCACCTCTGTATTGCAGGCTAATTCTGCCCACTGCCAGGAGTTCAATCCTAACCAGCTCAAAGTTGACTCAGCCTTCCATCCTTCCAAGGTCGGTAAAATGAGGATCTTGAGATTATTGGGGCCAATATGCTGACTCTGTGAACAGCTTAGAGAGGGCTGTAAAGCACTACGAAGTAGTCTACAAGTCTAAGTGCTATTGCTATGTGACTATTTATCTTGTCTCCAAATCACACTGATACTTGGTAAATTATTATTTCCTTATAATCTCAAGTTTTCAATAGGAATGGTATTCCTACTACTACCATCACCACCAGTAACCAATTCACGTTTGTACACATTGAATAAAAAAAATTAACTTCTGGAAAGAATATCATGATTTTTAAAAAAACGCATCAAGCAAATAATCATTAGAAACATTTGAAATGTTGATACCTGCTATTGTCTGTGCCACCGGCTCAGTGACTGTGCTGGGAGCAGTGCTTGGCTGCTGCTGGCTAGAGCTAACCTCCGGCTCCGTGCTAACAGAAGGAGACAATGCTACATCATTGGAAACTTGATTTGGGCCAGGCTGGAGGAGATCTTCAGAGGCTGATAGCTCTTCTTGCCCAGGGAGCTGCAAGGCTGATAAAGGAATGCTGATAGGTTTGCCAGAATTAGAGGTGCTGGCAGGCACCTGGAGGGCCACCTGAGGATTTACGGTTGGGATGTTACCAGGCCTTCTGCTTGAGGAAGGCAGATTGAGTTTGGGAGGTTTCTGGGTCACTGGCCTTGATGTAACTTGTGAAGAAGCTGAAACGTTCTGCAAATCAAAGTCAGCACTGAGGGAAGGAGATGAGTGAGAAGTTAGCTTAGATGCCACAGGATAGGAGGTTCCACCTTTAGGTTTTGACATGTGCGTCAAGGACAATGCAGGGCCATCAATGCCACCAGTGATTTCGGCATTCGCCACGATGTAATAATCCTCGGGGAGTTCTTGCTTTATTTTTTTGGCTAAAACATCATTGCTGCTTCCATCAATGACCTGAGACTGAGAGTCCAAATGTAGTGAAGAAGATGGGCCAGGCCTTTTAAGGGAATTTATCTGAGATCTTTGACGATGAGGTTCAAAATCGCTATCTTCGTCGGTCACCGAGGACTCACAGACCATGTCAAAAAGATTAGATTCATCTTCGTATTCCTCCACTGTTTCGTCCAGTTCAGAAGGCTCACTGCAGTAGGAGAAATCGCAGGAATCTCTGGTTCTGTTACAGTCCAACTTTGCTTTTCCTGACCTCCCTGGATAGCGTTCCACTGGGCTGGCTTGGGGGTCTGAAGGCATGCCGATTATGCTGGGGCTATCGGAGTTGAAACTTCTATTATCCTGGAAACAAACTCTTTCCTGTGAGCCAGCCCTACAAGTAGCTGTCAGTGGCCAGTGATAGGCATGGCCTGCACTACAGCCCCACATAGCTGTCAGGTTGCCATGGGAACCCTCTGAAAGTAGGTGTTTTAAATTTGGAATGAGGCTGCAAATAGTACCATGACTGTGGGCCCAACTGACAAGCTTGGAAAGGTTTTCGGAAGATGTATGGAGGCAGTCTTCCATGGTGCATCACTCAATAACTTTGTTCCTTGAAAAGAAAAAAGGGGGAAAAATGCATTAGAACCAAAGTCTGTACTTGAACTAGAATACATATTCCACAAAATACGGGTAGTCCTTGACTTAAAACAGTTCATTGTAAGTTCGAAGTTACAATGGAACTGAAAAAGTGAATTATGACCATTTTTCACACTTACGATCATTGCAACCTCCCCATGGTCACGTGATCATAATTCAGGCGCTTGGCAACTGACTCGGTTGTAGTGTCCCGGGGTCATGCGATCACCTTTTGTCATCTTCTGACAAGCAAAGTCAATGGGAAAGCCAGATTCACTTAACAACCGTGTTACTACCTTAACAACTGTAGTGATTCAGTTAACAACTGTGGCAAGAAAGGTCGTAAAATGGGGCAAAACTCACTTAACAAATGTTTCACTTAGCAAAAGAAATTTTGGCCTCAATTGTGGTCGTAAGTCAAGGACTACCTTTATGAATAATTTAATCAATGGAAGATATTTCCCTACATTCCCTGCATAACACAAGCAGACTAAATGATAAATAAATAACCAATCATTTCAACCTAGTTCACAGAGGTTATAGAAGATCAGTTTTAGACTATAGAACATTTTGAAGTAACAAATATATAATCTTCTTAATTTTTGTCACATAAGAATGCTATCATTGGAGTGGTGCAGTGGCCTAGAGGTGGAGCTCTCGCCTCACAATCTGGAGGCTGTGAGTTCGATCCTAGGTAGTAGCAGATATTTCTCTCTCTGGGCACAATGAGAAAATATCTGCAGTGAACTCTGTATTGGCGACAGGAAGGGCATCTGGCCAGTAAACACTCAGCTCCATTCAGTTGCTCCAACTCCACCCCATGCAAGGGATTACAGGGTCATTAAAAAACCAAAAACAAAAAAAAAAGAAGAAGAATGCTATCATTAGTTCTTTTGAAAGGGGGGAACTATTCTATGTCTAGGAACTTAGCTTTTTTGTTGTTTTTGCATAACTGAAAAGAACAGAATGAATGAAGAATCAAAATAATAATCACTTATATTAATTAATTAATTAATTAATTATATTTCTATACCGCCTTTCTCCCGTAGGACTCAAGGCGGTGTACAGTCAAGAAAAACATAGACACACAAACACCACAAAATTGCTAATTAAAATTGCCACTTAGTTTGGTCAATTAAATAAAACCCAGAATTAGATAACATTTAAAAAATCATTCGCATGCTTGTATGTTTAGCCCTGCCTGTTGGAACATCAGGGTCTTGAGGGCACGGCAGAAAGCACGGAGATCAGGGATATTCCGTATCTCCGGGGGCAGTTCATTCCAAAGGGTTGGAGCCCCCACAGAGAAGGCCCTCCCCCTGGGAGTCGCCAGTCAACATAATTTGGCTGACGGTACCCTGAGTAGTCCCTCCCTGTGAGAACGAACTGGTCGGTGGGAGGCTATTGGTGGCAAAAGACGGTCTCGTAGGTACCCAGGTCCTAAGCCATGGAGCGCTTTAAAACTAACACCTTGAATCGCACCCGGAAGACCACCGGGAGCCAGTGCAGCTCGCGTAGGAGAGGTGTTACATGGGCATAACGAGCTGCGCCCATAATCACCCGCGCGGCTACGTTCTGGACCAGGACGTATATGGAGGGAGAGTGTAGAAAAAGCATCCTAATATCTGCCAGACTAATCCTTTTTCATGCCATAACTGAGATGGAGATCTGATTGATGGAGGCAAGGTTTTGTTATAGCTGCACCTCAATTGTTGGGCACTCTCTGCCTTAGGACAGTAAGCCAGAGGTTTCTCTGATAGTTTTAAGAATTTCTTAGAGCTTATCTGCACTGTAACTGACTAGAAGGACTGACTGGAGGAAAGAAATGAATTTCACACGAAGTCACATTCTCATCCCAGATGTTCTAACAGCAAAAAGGTTAAACCTCTTGTGTCAGCGTTCCAGAAAAAAACCCAACTCCAAGTAAAGACTCAGAAGCAAGCATTTTCCAAAGTTCTCTTTATTAGAATAGGAAAACTGGCACATCTGGGGAAACCTGAATCTGAAAAGCCCGGGTTTTCCTTCAGTATGTCAAAGTTCCCAAAACCATCCCCTTTTCCACCCAGTCGGTCACATGCTCCAATCAACATCCGATCCAGCCCCCTGACCAGTCCTTCTCCAGATGCTGGATCGCCCTGACCTTGACCGACAGGAAGAATGCTATTATGTCTACTAAACCCCTCTCCTAAATCCCCCCTCCTACTTTCCCACACATGAGAAGGTGGCAGCATTGGAGCTTCCAGCCTAATATGGCTTCCAAAGCTGACATCTTGCTTTAAAAACCAAAAGGTTACTAGTTCAAAACCTACCAGAATTTTTTTTAATGATTCTGGTTATTATTTTTCTTTCTAGAGTTCCAAATGTTCTCTGGGCTTTAAAAAAAAAAAAAAAAAGACCATTAGCGCACACTTTTCCCAGTCAGGTCCCAAATAAACCCAGTAACATAAGGGCTATTTGTTTGCTAGGAATGAATCCCTACCATGTCAGGTGACCAGAAAAATACGTTAATATTAAACAAATTAGTTGCCCATCTATCAAACAAGCTCTGGTGAGTAAAGAAGAGAAGAAGAAACACCTAATTCACCAACAACTAAAAGAAAACTTATAACCAAATCAGAATAGCAACCAGTCAACCTCATCCACACCCATGTCAGAGCCCCATTAACATACTGGCCCCAAAGCATAGAGGAATAACCAGATCTTCATGGCCTTCTGGAAAGCCAAAAAGAGCTGTCTCTATCTCAGGGAAAGGCTCTTCCAGAAGGCAAATGTCATGACAGATAAGGCATTTTTCTTAGGGCCAATAGAGCCAAGGGCAAACTCACTCCATCTAATCTGGTGTGACATTCAGAAACCATTGGTGAAAAGTCACCCACCCCACAAGTAACCAATCCCATGGTTTGTAGGGCTTTAAAAATGAGAATCGGTACTTTGAATTTCACTTATAATCTACCAAGAGCCAGTTCAATTCACATAACAGTGATCTCATGTGGGCATACAGTAAAGCAAGGGTGGGGAACTATGGTCCTTTATGAATGGTAGACTTCAACTCCAGAATTCTTGACTCAGCCATACTGGCTCAAGAATTCTGGGAGCTGAAGTCCACCAGTCATAAAGGGGTATAACAGTGGTGAAATTCAATTTTTTTACTACTGGTTCTGTGGACGTGGCTTGGTAGGTGTGGCTTGGTGGATGTGGCTTGGTGGATGTGGCAAGGGAAGGATACTGCAAAATCCCCATTCCCTCCCCACTCCTGGGGGAAGGATATTGCAAAATCTCCATTCCCACCCCACTCTGGAGCTGGCCAGCCTGGCACTTGCCGGTTCTCCAAACTACTCAAAATTTCCTCTACCAGTTCTCCAGAACCTATCAGAACTTGCTGAATTTCACTCCTGGGGTATAGTTTCCCACCTCTGGACTAAAGCGTCTAATAATGCACATGCTATTATTTTCTGGATCAAATAAAGCTTCTAAATGCTCTGCTAAGTAGGCACATTACACATTAGCAATAGTTCGGTCAGGAGGTGAGGCATGAGTAGTTGTAAGCAGGGTGGATTTGATTTAAATCAAACTGATTTAAATCACGATTTAAATCACTAGTCAGTAAGGCTTGATTTAAATCATAGTTTTCTACATAAAGACTAATTCTTGCTGGTATAACTTTAATATGCAAGTAGATGAAGATTTTTAGTATAACAACTTTTCATATTAGTTTTTTTTTATAGAAACTTTATTAAGATTTTTTACAAACAGAAAAAAAGAAAAACATACAAACAAAAACATAAAAAACATAAATGTAATGACATTTTCAGTTAATATCGGATGTGCAGTGTTTTAACTATTTACATAAATAATACTTGGTGATATTTCAAATCACTTTTAACCATTATTTAACACACCTTTAAGTCTTTCTTTCATTTTATCATGCATCCACTTGTACCCTTTCCCACACAATATAGTAAACTGACTTCTTGTCATCGTTTTCATATTAGTTTTTTTATCCCCAGTTTAATAGGTTAATCATTCATATTTGGACAACTTTTCTGTTGTACTTAGGAAGGAGAAAAATAATCATTACCTTAATAATAACAATTTAAATAGATTTATTCAACTGAAACAATAACATTACAGCATATGTTATTTGCTTAAACAAACATCCATGTTTGTTAACTAATTTGGTTAAACAAAATATATATATTTTAAGAAACTTAGACTGTCAGCCCAGCCTACACATGAAAAACTTAAATACTGTCCTCTGTAGCTCACTCATCATCTTCATCTTCTTCTTTGTTCATAATCTGGAAAAGAAAAACAAGCTTTCCTGCTTTATCGGGTCCCAAACAATTTCTCAATTTAGAATGAATGAGTCCAAAGGAAAAGAATATTCTTTCAACGCCTGCAGAAGAAGCTACTGCTGTTAAAAGTGAAATCATTACTTGAACAGTCTCTAAATCCAAGTGCTTAAGTGACTTCCACCAGTTCACTGGTGTGACTTTCTTTAAAATATCTTCAGCAAACATATATTTCTTGAATGGTTCCACCTTAGCTTTGAAGTTTATTATAGTTGGCATTACAGATGGATGATTGCTGGATACCCATGCCATAGCTAACTCCTCTTCCTCAGCACTTAAGTTTTGACCCTGATACTGGATATTGACAATATTTGCCAAAAAATGAGCTGGAGACAGTACTTGTCCCATTCATTTTTTTAATGCTTGTAATTTAATTCTGTCCATGTGTAGTTCTGTTTTTAAGTGTTTACTCAGTTCCTTCCAAATTTCAACAGCATCAGCAATAAAACAGCTATTTTTCTATATTTTGTTTAAAGCTTCAGAGATGGGTTTCAGGATGCTCAGCATATGTTCAACATTTCTCTTAAGCCCAATGTTGAGGATTTTGGCCGTGACAGTGCCATCTATTTTATCTCGATTTTCTTCACAAACTGTCATCAGAATAGGCCAGTTCTTGATATAC